GTCGTGTCAAGCATTGACAAGCATAAAGTAAAAATCTCTAAGAACATAAGATACATAATTTTAAAAAAACTCAGCATTGTTTTTGTCTCTTCAAGTAGCCAATGTTAAGAGTTAAAGAAATACCATGTCTGCAGTAGGTGTAGGGGAAGAGATTTGCTTGTTTATTCATTGACATGCTCTTTTCCCTTTCCTTGCTGAAAGAAGATGCTTATTAGCTGTGATATCCTCTAATGCCAGAGGTAGTTTCACCCTTGGTTGTGCTTAGTGTACTCAGTTTTGAAGTAACAGAGACAGAGATTGAGGAACAATTGGAAGACTATGGAGAAGAGATAGGTCATGTTACCCCCGACTTCAGCACAGAGGTAGATGCTGCTGTCTCCACTTACAGTCTCAGAAATGCTGAGGAATTGGAGGAGGTGGGGAGAATAACCACAAGGATAACTGAAGGATTTGAGGACATCCCTCTGAGGTGGATGCCTTCAGTCTTTCAGCAGTTAGTTTAATAAAGAGAAGGATAAGAAGGTGCATTAACCACTAGTTAATATGATGGCAGGCTTCTTCAGTCTTGTAAACAAAGCATAACAGTGTGCCCTGACTGGAAGCTGAAGCTGGATACATTTTAGCTAGGAACAAGAGACCTATTTTGAATTGACCACTGGAACAAACTGTCAGGTGTTCTGACTGATTGTCCATCACTGGCAACTTGTAAATTGAAATTGGATGTTTTGTTAGTAGTTCTCTGGTTCAAACCATAAGCAATTGAGTGAAGTCATGTTTTCCAGGGCATGGGACTTAGATGGACCCTGTAGTCTTTTCTTGTTTTACAGTGCCTCAATAGGAAAGAATCAATATTCTGAGCTATTTCCCTACTGGGTGTAGTTGATATCTGCCTTCAGATACCTACGGTGGAATCTCACTCCTGTTGACAGATGGATTTGAGCAAAGACAGAAAGGCTTCATAACAAAGAGCCAGGAGAACGGGCACATTTGTCTGTCACCAGATTTAAGCTAATGTTTATTTGTGACTTAAAACAAAAGATGAGAAAGGAGTAAGTGTGCAACCATTTGACTAGGACATGCTTTCCTGTTTGAGAGTAGATGAAAGCTCCCATTCGTTCCAAGTATTAAACTTTTTTTGTTGTTGTTTTTGACCCTGTTTTAGGAACAGAAGTAGTTAGCAAATGTATATTGCTTTTCTGAATTTTGTGGAGGTTGGCAAACCAGTCTTCACATTGATCAAAATGTACATGCTTCTGGAAAAGACAAAAGTGAAATGCAAACTAAATTTTCATGTGTCGTCCGCCCGCCCTCCCCCCTCCCCCCATGTACTATACAGAAATGGAGGATTATGGAGATACTTTTTCTTGCACCATTTTCCAACATTCCTACTTCTTTCCTGTGTTGGAGGAAGATCTTAGGCTTGATTCACTACGGAAGTTCTTCTGATCTTGATGGATGTGTAGTTTTGGAGAGGGGAGACAATTCGTGTGCATGGCTGTTCAAACACATAGATGTTCTGAGGACCTGAACTTGAGAGATGACTTGGAACTCAGTGGAAGTCTTACAGAACCATAACTATGTTTTGCTAGGTCCTCTGTCCTACTGTCAGTAGAGTTTTCAGTCTTTGGAACTCAGTTGTCATGTTTAGACCTATAGCCTTCCTTGCAACCAGTATGAATATCTGCAGGGCTACTCACCATTGAATTTCTGCAAAGATTCCATCCAGAGGGTGACTAGAAGATGATGATGAGCAAGAAAGTAGTCAGTGTTTCCTATACATTAACCTCAGCTTTCCTCTCAAATAGGTAAAAAGCTCACATCTCTGTGGAGCTGAAGCAAAGCCTCTGTCACCTTTCTGCTTCTTCCCTCCCCTCCACTGCTTTCTGTTTTTAAATCTAGTCATGTGGGAAAAGATCGTTTGACCGTGAAACTTAAATGTTGCAAGGCCTTGTGGATTTACAACAATGACACACTCTGGAATCTGATTAGTAGGCTATATATCCATCACCAAAATAGAATTGGTACTGAATACATAGTGTATATTTTTTCCATCAATTTTTTTCCTCTTTCTTTTTTTCAATAGCATTCCTGGGACCACCAGAAGTTAATATCAGTTCCTGTCTAAACTGCATAAATGTCACCATAAAGCTGCCAACCTCTCACCTCAGAAAAAATGAAAAGCTGCTGTCTTTAATTGATATATATCAGGAGCTTGATTATGGTATAACCCTGAAAACACTTGATGGAGAGCATAAGGTAAAGAACTTTTTGTTTTATTTGTGCTTTAGGGGAGAAATACAGAAAGCATAAAACGGCTCTGATGGTTAGCAGATTCCCAGAAGCAAATACGTGAATAAAAGATACTTAGAAAACAAAGAGAATGACCACGATAATCTTAGCTTCCTTTCACTGCAGAGTAGCTGGCCTAGAAGAGGAATGTTAGTTGTCCTGTATCCTTACTTAAAATAAAGCACAGGGCCCTGGCTCAAGTGATCCTTCTCTGGGAAGACAAGGGAAAGACAGTTTAGGAGAAAGTACTGGCAGGTGTTTGCACAGCCAATAGGAAAATATGTTCAGAAAGCAGTTCAGTAGTTTTCTGTCAAACTGAAAAAATGTATCCAGTTTGTTTCTGAAACAAGGTTTTCTGGGTCTGGTACTGCTTAAAGTTTGTTTTGATTGGGGGGCTTTTTGCGTGCTGAAATAGAGAGGTAGATAGGCATGATTAGAACTCAAAATGATCGTTGCAAAATGGAGAAATAATCTTAAAATAATAGGAGATCATTCAATAAGGAGCAATGCAAGGCATAACACTTAAGAATAATTGTCTGTGTAATAAGTAGAGCAGTAACAGCTACACAGGCAGCACTTCTGCCAGAAAGGATGAGAGCATTCTATAATACTCCAAGCTAAACGTGACTCATGTTGCTGAGATTAAAAAAAATATATATATTTTTTTTGCATAGTTGGTACTTGTAAATCCCACCTACCCCACACCAGTCTAGGGTTTAGAAAAGGCACAGACCATTTGAGCAGGATCCAGAAAGGAACAGTGAGGACTGTGGGGGATCCTGAGACATGACCTGTGAGGAAATGCTGGAATAATAGGGGACTGCTTAGTGTAAGCAAGCAAACCACAGTTAGACACCAGAGTCTCTGAGTATGTAAACATTTGCTACAGAAAAGGAGGAAATAAACTGTTCACTGTGACCAGAAACAGTGAAGTGAAATTGGCAGTTGTGCAGACTTTAGGTTAAACATCGAGAGACATTAATACTTGGGCTGGCAAAACACTGGACTAAGTTGCCTAAGTGGAGCATGGGCTACCTGTACTAGAAGTTTTGAACAGCTGGTCAGACAGGTACCTGTTGGGGATTATTTCTCAGAATATCACTTGCGGTTTCAAATCTGTAGAATCTGTGAGGCTACTTCAAGGGGGACACACAGTGACCAACAGTTGGAGACAGAAGGCAGTTTATCTTGGATAATACAATATTTCACAAACAGGCGTAAGGTAGGTGTCTTGACATCAGCTAGAACTAGAGATGAAGGAGTTGTCTAGGTAAACTGCTGAGTTACTGTGTCGGTTTTTGCAGTTTCACATGCTACTGCATTTCTCCAAAATAGCCATAATGGTTTATCAGTGGCTAGGGATCTCATTTTCAGCAAATAGCTAACTTTAAAACATCATCTTTCATGCCAGAGGCCACGTGAGACAACCACAGAAGAAATTATTAACACTGTCATTGAAGAATTGTATCCAAATAGAAATTACTGTGTGTCTGTTATGGTCACTGCATCTCTAAACACACATTCCATCCCATCAGCATGGAAATGCATAACTACAGACTCTGTAGCTCAACAAGGTAACTGTGCCATGGTGCAGGAATGTGTTGTCTGACTTGAGTATGTGCAAGTGTTTTCTTTTTATGTAGGAAGATTTACAAGTCAATTAATCCTAAAAATAGTAACAGAGAAGGTACCTTCCGAGTGATAAACATTGTGGGCATTTATAAGTGAAATATAAAAACCCATCCACTTTGGGGCTACAAATCTATTGTTAATCCTGTGAGCCATATAAATGTCCACTAACTGCATTAGCTATCAAAGATGGTATCATTTCTTTTTTAATTCCTGAATCTAATTTGAGATTTGGTCTTGTTTTGACTTTGGACAAGATGACCTCCAGAGGTCCCTTCTAAACAAAATTATTTTGTGATTCTAAATAGCTGTTCTGAATGTGAACTATGAAATGTGGTCACTGGAAACTTCATTCATGTATGTTTATTTGCTTGGTTTTTTTCACTTGCAGATTATCATATCGTTGCAATTGCAGGGGCTATATGTTTTTCACTGATGTTAGCTGGTGCCCTGAAGTGTATGCATGCAGGAGGTTATATTCTTCAAAATAAATCACTTCCACATACCTTGGTATGTAATAATTATCGTATTTAACCTTCCTGGTTGGGAGGAGGAGGTTTACAGTCTGAAATTTCTAATCCAGTGCATTAGATATAAGTACTTATAATGTTTTAATTTGCAGTTTGCCTGTGTCAAAGATAGACTATAGGCTGCTAAATCTTGTCTGTTCTGCAGAACAAATATTCAGTCTTTCTCAAAACCATTTCTTGCTACTTCTGTGACAAGTTACTAACAGAGAGAGAGATGTGATCATCCCACCCTACTCAGCGCTTGTCAGGCTGCACCTGGGGTATTGTGTCCAGTTCTGGTCCCCACAGCACAACAAAAATGTGGACAGACTGGAGAGGGTCCAGAGGAGGGCCACGAAGATGAGCAAAGGGCTGAGAACCTGCCTTGTGAGGAAAGACTGAAGGAGTTAGGTCTTTTCTGGAGAAGAGAAGGCTCAGATGGGACCTCATTACAGTATTCTTGCACTTAGAATGGCTACAAACAGGACAGAGGCTCTGAAGACAAGGGGCGATGGGTACCAGTTGCACTGGGAGAGGTTTCATCTCGAGAAAAGAGAGAAATTTTTTACAGTGAGAACAATCAATCACTGGAACAACCTCCCCAAGGATGTGGTGGAATCCCCATTGCTGCAGGTTTTCAGTCTGCAGTTGGACAGGGCACTAGATAACCTTATCTAGGCTCCCTCTCCCACAAAAGGTGGATGAGGTGGTCTTTTGAGGTCTCTTCCAGCCTGTGCTGTTCTATGAGTCTATGAAGTTAGAGGAGACAAGCAGTAGTGAAGGGGAGACACCCCACCCCAAGTAACTTTAAATGAACTCTTTATGGTACACAGAAACAGGCTAGGTCCTACAGCAGAGCACCCAGCGTAGGACAATTAACCCCTTTCCCTTTCAAAATTTACCTTCTATGTAAATCCTTGCTGCAGCAGACAAATTTCCTCTACTATCTGAGCCAGGGCAATAACTCCAAAACAAAAAACCTACTCCAGTTCTTAGGTGAAGTGCATAGGGAGAAGACCTGTTCTCCACCAAGAAGGATGCTCTGAAAACATTCAGGAGCAATGTGTATCCATTGCTCCTTAGCAAAGCAGTTTCTGGCACATTTTGCCTCCGTTATTTCACCCTGCAGCATTGTACTCCTCTCTAAGAACAAAACCAATTACCCCTATAATATTTTTCCATTTATTACACCAAAAATCAGAGCATTCCCTGAAGATTTGAGGATAGTTTAGCCAGGTCCCTGGTTGCTGGAGTTTAAAGGCATTTTGAGAGATTCTACAACTGAAAGCAAGTATCTTAAACTTGCCTTCAAGGTCTTTTATTTATCATGCTTCTATAGGAAAGCAAGCTGAAAAGACAAAAGGTAGCTTTAAGGCCGGGTTTGGGTGTATGTTGTGGTTCAACCCCAGACTGCAACTCAGCCCCACCCAGTTTGGTAGGCAGCTCAGCGCCACCCAGCCGCTTGCTCACTCCCCCCTGGTGGGATGGGGGAGAGAATCGGAAGGGTAAAAGTGAGAACTCGTGGGTTGAGATAAAGACAGTTTAATAGGTAAAGCAAAAGCTGTGCACGCAAGCAAAGCAAAACAAGGAATTCATTCTCAACTTCCCATGGGCAGGCCAGTGATCAGCCATCTCCAGGAAAGCAGGGCTCCATCACGTGTAATGGTGACTTGGGAAGACAAACGCCATCACTCCCAACGTCCCCCGCCCCACCCCTCTTCCCCCAGCTCTATATGCTGAGCATGATGCCATACGGTATGGGATATCCCTGGGGTCAGTGAGGTCAGCTGTTCTGGCCGTGTCCCCTCCCAACTCCTTGTGCCCCCCCAGCCTCCTCGCTGGTGGGGTGGGGTGAGAGGCAGAAAAGGCCTTGGCTCTGGGCAAGCCCTGCTCAGCAGTAACTAACACATCCCTCTGTTACCAATGCTGTTCTCAGCAGAAATCCAAAACACAGCCCCATACCAGCTACTGTGAAGAAAATTAACTCCATGCCAGCCAAAACCAGCACAGTGTATCGTTCCTGTGGTGATGCGTACAAATGGCCTGGAGTTGGGAGTTTTGGTCTCTTTATCCCTAAAAGACAGGCCAGTTATTTAGGCTGGAGAAGAACAGAATCACCATTAGTGCTCCAAGACTTTTTTTTTTCCCTTAAAGATATACTTCATGGTTATTATCCACAAAAGGAGTCAAGGACAGCATGTGAGAAGTACTAAAAGTTCAGCAGTCTGGTAAGAGCCAGATCTGGATGGCTGTTGGAAATGGTCTCCCAGACAACAAATAAGAACTTCCTCTCAATTCACCTCAACAAGGAGACAAAGGACAGACCACCAAAGACCTTTGTAGACATGAGACGCTGCTTCGAGGAAGCAATCTTTAAAGCATGTTGTTTCTCAGGAAACCCGAGTCTGCTTTGTAACATCAACAGTAGCTTCTCAGTCAAAGGAAAAATCCTCTTTACTGGTCAGATATACCTTGCAGGTCCCCAACCTTCCAGTTCCACAGGTATCTCATACCGTAGGTTGGGAGGCAGTTATGTGCAGATAGGTCCCTGCCAAAAGAGTATCTTAGTTCCAGAACTGTTACTAACAAGTTCAGGATCACTTCTCTGGGTAGCCTGATGTCCGTCTTCCTTCTCCAGTCTCAGTAATGATTTATTACTGTATTCTGTTATACACAGGCAGTAGTGAAAAGGATGCCTGATAGTGGAACACTTAGTAGGGAAAAAAAGGGTATTCATAGGCAAGTTATCTCTGCCAGAATCTAGAGCTGGCATAGTATCTTAGAAACTAACTCATGGACCAGGCTGTCATGATCTACCTGAATATTGGAGTTGGATGAAAACAAAAAGCAAAGGAAAAGAAAAGAAACAATGTAGGTGTGGAAGAAGACTTACTCGGGGTGGGGGTAGAGGGGAGGATGGGCAAACAGTACTTGCATCACCTTCCGAATGCCAAGGTATTCTCAGTAGTCGTAAATAGTGATGGGCAAAAAAGTCTATGATTAAGGAAGAGTACTTAAGGAAGAAAGGAAGGTAATGGTAATGTATCAGTCAAGTTGTTCCACTATTTTGAATAAAACAATCTTTCTTTGACTTTTTCTGTGATCAATTGTCATGTTTTAGCACTTGAGGAAGCCAGTCCCGAGTCAGCTAATTTTTTATTTTAATAGAAGAAACTGAACTGCCACTAAACTTCAAGCAAAACCAACAAGATTCCTGGGACTTGCTTCTGTCCATCTTGCTTTTTTTTTTTTTTAATAGTTTCTGACTTATTTTACATTTAATTCTATGGGGTTTTTCAGCATAAATATGGTCCATTGTCTACAAACATATCTTATCATAGAATGGTTCGGGTTGGAAGGGACCTTAAAGATCACCTAGTTCCAAGCCCTCTGCTGTGGAACCAGACTGGGTTGCTCAAAGCCTCATCCAGAGCAGATTGGTATCAACTTTTTCTAAGACTTTTTTCCTCATATTGCTGTCCTTTGCTATGTCATTACATTCATGTCCCTAAACTTGCTGACCAAGATTTTACCAAGTAGTGTCTAATGTTAGTTTTTTTGTCAACATTTTCCCCCAATACTTCAAATATTCAATAATCCTCAGAACTGCAGAGTAAAACAGAAGATGGGACTTAGGATGTCATATAGTTCATTGCTTCAAATGTTACATTCTTAAAGGACATTAAAATTGATCATCCATGTAAGGCTTCTCTTTTGCATGGTAACTGCAAGAGCTAACAGAAAGTTGCAAGACTTGCCTCAGGTTTAAGATGTATTTCTAATATGAGGTTTTAGTCTTAGAAAGATACCTCAGAAATTAGAATGAAAACATTTCATACCTGACTGCTTGGCACTAGTGTCACTTCTTTGAGGCTGTCCAATGCTTTGTGCCTTGATTTGTAGTGAAGGCCGTCATATTTACAGGAATGGAGAAAAGGGAACAGTCCTAGGTGCCCCGAAATCTGCAGAAAAGACCAAAAATTTG